CAGCCGCTGCTGGCTTGTGCCCAGCTCTGAAAGCAGCGCCGCACCGACCGAGAAGAAAGGGCGGCACTGTGACAGGGATTTTCATCGATATAGTCTGTAAGCGTTTGTCCCACATTGGTACCCTTACCGGCAGCTGCTGCCAACACCTGGGGCTGACAGCCAGACCCAGACCCCCACATCCCAGTGCGGTATTGGCAGGGGGCAGGAAAGAGAGCCCGAGGCCTGGTGATGGGGCTCTAGGTGTCCCCTTTATTGCTGACAGCCAGAGTTTTAACTCCCCCAAACACCTCTCCCCTGACATTGCTTAGTGGGGATGGCATTCACTTGGGGTGTGGGACAGTCGGTTTTAACTCCCCCACCCCGTACGTAACGTAATGAAGGGATCTGAAACTGGGTCTCCCCAATCTTTGCCCTAACGCACCACACTAGAGGGTGTTCTGGGGCAGGGCCCTTTACCTCTTGGGTCTGCCTCACCCTGGGATACAGAGTCGGTCTCTCCCTCTGGAGCAGCAGCCAAGACTTGGCAAGTCCCCCCGAGCACTGGACCCGAGTTCCCCCATCAGGCCCTTCACCCCTGTCCGTGCACAGGGAGAAGAGGGGAGCCCTTCCACTGTCATGTCGGCATCTCCCCCAGGGAGGGCTATGCCAACTTGACAGAGCAGAGCCACGGTCCAGGCGTGACTCTTGTCTGGTGAAAAGGGCGAAGTCTCATTAGATCCGTTTTACACATGGGAAACACACTAAGAATCGGTGTGGCTTCCCCAGGAATCAGTGACGGAGCTGTGACTAGAACCCAGGGCCGCTGACTGCCAGGTCCCTGCCTAACCCACTAGACTGCCCTCCCCATTGCAGGAGAGCCTGTACAGTCGGCAGCACGTCTCAGGGGGCGTGTTTTGGCTTCCCCGAGAAAATAAATACAACATGTTGCCAGGAAGAGGTTGTATCTAACCTTCCAGATGAAATATTGTTAGAAAAGAACAGGCGGCGCGTACTCGCTCCATCTCAGAACCCCCGGGGATGCGAGCGAGCAACACGCTAACTACAGGTTCACCTTTCTATCGTAGTCAGTCTGTAGATACACTTACCAATTAGAGCACCCCTTTAAACCTGATTTAGTAACGTGAACACCCACAGAATGCGCAATCATAACCCTGTGATGAATACGATACCCGCCCGTTTACAGTTTTATAGTTGATGTAGATAGTTCTCAGATCACAAAACTCCTTGAATCAGCAATTTACAAGGGAGATGTGACCCAAACGCCTGCTTCAGAGCAAACGGGAATGGATTAGGGGGTAAGGAAGATCACACTGTTAACACATAGAGCATTCATTCAAAGTTACAGCTATCCTGAGCAAGTAGGGAAGGAGGGATCAAAACAAGTCTGTAAGTCAATAGAAGCAAGGTCCGACTGGGCCATGCCCCGTTACCATGGTCACAACCACCACGGCCTCTGATTTAACCATTAGTCTGCCCAACCAATCTTTCTTGCCCAACCAAGTCAGACACAGATAGGGATCAAACATTCAGGCTATGTCTACGTATGCGGCAGAACGTCTGATGCGCAAGAGGGTTTTTTTTCACAAGAAGAACAGTGCAGACTGCTCCCCTTGCACAAAATGGCGGCTCATTAGGTATGCAAGTGAGGTGTCGCAATATTAATTGCCAGACCTCATTTGCATATCTTCTTGCTCAAGGATGCGCAATGTAGACGTAACCTTGGTCTTCAATACCGGTTGCGCAATCCCCAGAAACGTCAGTGCTCTCTTTCCCCGGGCTCTGCTTTGCACCCACCTGAGCCACAGCCGTGGATATGGAGAAGACGCCCTTACCTTATGTATTGAGTCAGGCATGTTTTTCAAATTCAGCTGCAGGGCATTTCCTATGAGGGGAAAAGCCACAGGGCCGGGCGGCAGCTTCCCACTTCCAGACGTCTTCCTCCGTACTGAAAAGAAGAGAAGGCAAGAGACACAAATGACCAGGAACACCGTGGTTGCTCCCAGCGGTTCCATTGTCGCGAGTAGCAACAGCTCTTGGGTCTGACCGGGGAATATTTTATACGTCAGAGCCCACACTTTATATATTGTGCCTGCAAAACAGACAGTGGCAAGCAAATAGCCAATAGCGGCTCTCAATTCTTCTGAGTCAACAAGTTTATCTAGGGCCAACAAAGTTTACTAGATACTGACAAACTAGGAATGAACTCCATTTGACTGTGTTTGCGCCTTGTATTCTCCCTAATGCAGCACAAATATTAATCATCATGGGAAAGCTTCAGTGCCCACGAAGTCATCGCCCTCTGTCAGCAAGTATCCTGGGAGACCTGGTGCCAACTGAAGCATAGATTAAGGCTGGAGAACGGTACACAGCTGGGGTAAACGGGGCTGGTGCACACCTGTCTCCCACTCCTGTCAGCCCTGCTCTGAACTTGGTTAGCCCCTGGTCTCACTCCTAGGCCTACCTGAGGTACCAGTGAGAGAAGCATAAAGCATCACTGCCTGAGACAGGTGCTAAGTGTGTTTGATACTGCCAGAGGGAGGGGCAGAAGCTGCCAATACCAGGGTCTTTATCCTGGGGGAGGGCTAGAAGGTGCCCTTCCCTCCTGCCCCTCCCCCCAGAACCTCTTGCAGGGGTATCTAAAAGTCCCTTCTGAGAGTCAGAGATCTGTGGCAGAGAATCTACCAACCACAAAGTTACTTAAGGCTTATTTACAGATTTCATCTTCAGCTAAATATTGGTTAGCTACTGCTGTAGACGTTGTACATTAACATCGGACTGTGCCGCATATAATGTATTGCTCCATGTATTGAACAGTGGCAATCTTCTTTCCAGAAGCCCTTTGCTCAATGCACAGTAATGCACACTGGAAACCATAATCCCAGCTCCACTTATGAAATGACAGGGTCTTGCCACTCCGAAGAGAAAGACAGTGGAGTCACTGTGGAGAGTTCTCTGCAAACACCCACTCAGGGCGCAGCGACAGTCAAAAAGCAAACTGGCTATTCGAAGGACAGTCAAAAAGCAAACTGGCTATTCGGAGTCATTAAAAAAGGGACAGGGAATAAGACAAAGTAACTGGCTATTCGAAGTCATTAAAAAAGGATAGGGAATAAGACAAAGTGTCATATGTAACCTGTATAAATCCACCGTTCCCCCACATCTTGAAAATTAATCTCATCCAAGGTGGCCTGTAGGGTGGAAAAACAGATTTAAAACGAGAAGAGTATTTGTGGCCACTGGCTGTAGGACAGCCGTCAGCCGTGTTCTATCCGGCACGCGCTCCATTGTGGGTGTGGAAGCAGGGCGGGAGAGGTGCATTTTCTCTGTTTTTTCGGTGCTTTTGGATTCAGCGAGGAAGGTGCAGAGCTGGAGAGCATTGTAGGGATGCACTAGTCAGACACAATTTTTCTTGGGGGTGAGAGGTGGTTTAAGAGACAGTGTTTAGCATTGTAGGGATGCACTAGTCAGACACAATATTTCTTGGGGCTGAGAGCTGGGTTTAAGGGACAGTGTTCGGGGATTCCCCATGGGCTGTTTTGGAGCTCATGGCACCTGCATCTGCCTTGCTCACAGAGCCCTCTGGCGGCCCAGGTTTCCCTCAGAAATGTGCAGCGTGTCGTCAGTGATCTAAACGTGATCTCACATTGCCCTCTAGAGGCCCCTACCTCAGACTGTCCCCAGACACAGAGCTCCCAGTCATACCCGCGGATTTGCCCCTGCATCTGTAGTGCAAATTCACATCCATTTGGCAGGTCGTTTTTAGGAAACTCATCTGAAGGGCAGCCTCCTTCGCCTCCTGCAGGCTTGGACTCAGCTTCCTTTAAGGATGCTCCTGGGTTGGGCTCCACATGAAGAGGAGCAGGGGCAGGCCTCTTCTCTCCTTGTCTGAGGAACGCGCTGAGGCGTAGGTGGAGCTAATGATGTGGGCATCTCCCTGCAGAAGGAGTGCACACACCCAGAGACAGAGACTTGGCCACCCGGGGACTTTGAGAGCAAAAAATGGAAGCCCCCAAAGGAATTTAAACACCAATGGCATTATACGGCAGCCGAGTGAGGTTTGTGGATCGCAGAAGGGATGTTAAAGACTAGTCGACTATCCAATAAGCAAATGCAAACTACAGTAAACCCACATCTTGAACACTGCACTCGGATGTGGTCTCCTCACCTCAAAAAAGATATTTTGGCCTTGGAAAGGGTTCAGAAAAGGGCAACACAAATGATGAGGGGTTTGGAACGGGTCCCAAAGAGAACGGGACAGACAGTTTCCCACTGGTTTTATAAATTCCACCCTGGGAAGGAATCTTTTCTTCTGTATCCCCACCTACCATGGAAAATTACTTTGTCAACCTGGTATCCCACTACCAGGTGGTACGGTCACGTGTCTGCCTTCGACCAACCTCTGCTTAGACTTGAAGGACAAACAAGGCTGTTCTTGAGTCGTTACAGTGATGACCCAGTCATTAAGTCTTCTGGGAAGAACCATGGATGGCTCACGTTTGCACGTTTACAAAAAAACTCTCTCATGCCTCATGTTTCTAACATTACCGTGGCAAGCGCCCCTCTTACCCAGGCCACCACTGGGGCTAGCCTCTCGCTCCCACACCCTACGTTTGTGGTTTGCAAGCAGGTTTTTGTGGTAAGGAGCCCGGGCATGCCTCCTCGGACTCCCTCTTTAGCTCTTTCTGTCTAATGCTGTTATGGATCATTCTTTCTTAGCCTTTTGCCCCCTGTCTCTCCTTCACCTCCCTTCCATCTTCTCCACGAGAGCCACCAGCTCATTGAACGTTGCGGGGTCATTCTGGCCAACCCCACTCCCGTAGGTCTGGAGGTAACCCCCTCACATACCTCTCAAGGACAATCACCTTGGTAATCTTCTTGGGGCTGTAGATGTCAGGCCGCAGCCATTTCCGGGCCAGATGGATCAGATCAAACAGTTGAGCTGTGGATGCTCGGTCATGCCAATATTTCCATTCGTGGAATCTCTTGGCTCTCACCGTGGCTATGAACCCTGCCCGTTACAGGATCTCTGCTTTCAACTGGGAATAGTTGGACGCGGCTTCGTCTGCCATGTCGAGGTACGCCTTCTGGGCTTCCCCACTCAGGAAAAGGGCTAAAATGCTGTTCCACTGAGCTTGGGGCCAGTCCTCCCACAAAACTGTCCTTTCAAAGGCCAAAAGGCAGGCCTCCACATCAGCATCTCCTGTCATTTTTTGTAAGTAACAATTGGTCTGTAACAGTGGGGCCTCATCATGACTATGTACCTGGACCACCAGGACTTTCAGCTGGTTCACCACCTCCTGCAGGGTGGCTCTGTCCCGGGGCTGCCTGGCTCATCAACAGCTGGTTGGTTTCTGGTTGGAGCCGTACTGACGCCTGCTGGGCAGCTGCATGCACCCAGATAGCCTCGTATTGGGCGGCCGTGGCCTGCACCAGCGCCTTCACCAGGTCCTCTATTTGTACTTCTCCTTTAAGGGGTCAAGTTGGCCAGACTTAGGGTCCCTGTGAGGCCTCACAGCAAAATATCCCACTGCTGACACCATGTGTAGCAAGGGCCCCTCTGCAGCAGCTCTCTGGCCTGACCCTGCCACATTACATACACAAATGAGATACACAGTCCAGCAGATTGTAACATTCAAATGGCTAGGTTACATGAAGCATTTTGTTCCAAGCATCTTGGAATTCTGCATATTTGTATCCATAAACCAGTTTCATAAAGTGATAGGGGAAATGCCACACTGGCTACCTGCGCAGAGCCAAGGCACAGCATGGAGGGGACACATGCATACAACCGAACATTATCAATATTTGACAGATTCGAGGTACTTGTCAACACACCACATGGGTGACATCTGATGCTAGATGAGAGCACGGTTATAGAAGGGTTATAATGCCCAACTAAGAAATGTCTGTGAAAAAGTTTGAATTAAGGCTTTACAACAATTGTAGAGCACCATGTGTTATAATGTGGATATTCTACAGAGCCTGTGTTGGGTTCACTTTTTCTCTTTGAACTGTCTAATGATGTACAATGAGGTATCCTCTAATATTTTCCATTCATGTCAGGAATACATTTTGTCATGTGCACTGAGGCATGTGCAGATGGGCACCGCCAATAGAAAAACACCCTGCCGGAAGTGGGCAGCTGGAGGCACTCTGCCAATCACCCTGGGCGGCACCTGAATCTTCCCTGGGTGGCTGACCAAGCGCTCAGCCTACCGGGAATACTGCTGTACAATTCTCCTTCTCAGGGTAAAATGTCACACAATGAGGTGGGTTCATCACTGAGGAGGCAGAGCAAAGGTAAGGGTTGTTTTTATGAAGGGATTTACAGGAGCTGAGCAGGTACTTTGTGAACGAAGCCAGGGAGAGGGACATGTACTCCGTGCGCAGAGGCAGCAGGGTCCATGACTTGATGCTGAGGGCGCGTCTAGACTGCCCGCAGCTTTCGAAAGATATGCAACTTTGACGCACATTTGAAAATCTTTTTCCCATCCCGTTTTCAGAAGTTTTTTTTTTTTTTTTTTTAAACCAAAACAATCTAGCTGTGGTTCTTTAGGGGAAAAAACCCTTTTCAAAACAACCCTTCTTCCTAAAAAAAATGAGGGTTCTTTGAAAAAAGGGATTTTTTCGAAAGAACCGTGTCTAGACTGCTTTTTTTTCCCGAAAAAAAAACTCTTCCAAAAAAGGAATCAGAAGATATGCAAATTTGCGCCACATTTGCATATCTTCTTTCGAATGCTGCGGGCAATCTAGATATACCCTGATCAAGTGCCTCACCTGCAGTGACTTGTACAGCTGTGATAAGGATGTAAATTGAATAGACACAAAGGAGCATGGGAGTGAGCTGGAGGAATAAGAAAAATCTTTATTAAGTGAAAGTTTAATAGGTCATAGTTAATAGTTTAATAGACCATCATTGAAATTACATGAACAACAAGGGAAGGAGAATGCTAGGTCAGCCCACTAATTCAGAAACGTGTCACATCGCAGCAGAACGTCCAATCACAGGCATTACATCGTCACAGTTAGCTCTGATTGGCTGATCAGAGCTCAAGAGCTGGACAGTGTAACTAGCCCCTTGTAAAAGAAAGCAGCTTTCGTGGCTGTCGAAAGAAGTCTCCAGCATTGCCAACTGCATCACAACTGAACTGAAAACATATCCAGCTTATGTCAAGAGCAGTCACACCTGAGCCTGTCTGAGAACACTGCTGGGTACATGCCTTCAGAGTCAAACAGGTAGTTATTTTTTGGTATTGCACTTAATTTTGTTAAATCACAGTTGCTTAAAAAACAGGTTATTTATCTGGCTGGTTTAAGACAAGGAGTTCATTTGTGTCACTGCGCTAACGAGACCAAGATCACAGACAATCAGATTCCTGCACCTGTCTAGGACACTAAGGTGGCTTTTCACGGTCTCTATCGAGGCAAAACACAGAGCCGGTATGGTTTTGGTACAAGTAACAAAAAACTTGGTATTGAAGTTATATCAATGTCTTTGGGGTCAATGAGAGGTTTCAAGGTAAAATTCTGCAAAATCACTGTCAGGACCAAAAAGAGCTCCATCCTAGCCAGCCCCTCTCCCACGCATATTCGTTTCCCTGCAACGAAAAAGGAATTTTGAAGATGCAGAAGATCTTTCTTTGCAACCTACTTTAAATACTGTTACAAAGGATGTGAGATACAATATATATATATTTTTTTTGCTTAAGGGATAGCCCGAAAATGCTCTGCAAACTACAATTTGAGGACTCTTTGTATACTCAAGACAAAGCTAAGAAAGAATGGTCTGGAAACTGAAATAAATATTTTACCTGCAGAAAAAGGCATGAAGAAGTCACTCTTCTTAAAAGCACCATTTTCATCCAAAAAATGTCCTGGGTTAAATTGCTCTGGGTTTGGGAATTCCTTGCTGTCACGTAGGACTGATTCCAGAGATGGGAATACTGTAGTGCCCTGGTTTAGTAAGCACAGATAAAGAAAGTGTAAGTGGCCGGAGTCCACAGGGAAAACTCTCCAGAATTCACTGAGCTGGCCAGCAAGACACATTTTTCTTTCCTTCATGCCCTTTTTGTGGCCACTGGCTGTAGGACAGCCGTCAGCCGTGTTCTATCCGGCACGCGCTCCATTGTGGGTGTGGAAGCAGGGCGGGAGAGGTGCATTTTCTCTGTTTTTTCAGTGCTTTTGGATTCAGCGAGGAAGGTGCAGAGCTGGAGAGCATTGTAGGGATGCACTAGTCAGACACAATTTTTCTTGGGGGTGAGAGGTGGTTTAAGAGACAGTGTTTGGGGATTCCCCATGGGCTGTTTTGGAGCTCACAGCACCTGCATCTGCCTTGCTCACAGAGCCCTCTGGCGGCCCAGGTTTCCCTCAGAAATGTGCAGCGTGTCGTCAGTGATCTAAACGTGGTCTCACATTGCCCTCTAGAGGCCCCTACCTCAGACTGTCCCCAGACACAGAGCTCCCAGTCATACCCGCGGATTTGCCCCTGCATCTGTAGTGCAAATTCACATCCATTTGGCAGGTCGTTTTTAGGAAACTCATCTGAAGGGCAGCCTCCTTCGCCTCCTGCAGGCTTGGACTCAGCTTCCTTTAAGGATGCTCCTGGGTTGGGCTCCACATGAAGAGGAGCAGGGGCAGGCCTCGTCTCTCCTTGTCTGAGGAACGCGCTGAGGCGTAGGTGGAGCTAGCGATGTGGGCATTAATCAATGCCGGAACGCGCTGAGGCGTAGGTGGAGCTAATGATGTGGGCATCTCCCTGCAGAAGGAGTGCACACACCCAGAGACAGAGACTTGGCCACCCGGGGACTTTGAGAGCAAAAAATGGAAGCCCCCAAAGGAATTTAAACACCAATGGCATTATACGGCAGCCGAGTGAGGTTTGTGGATCGCAGAAGGGATGTTAAAGACTAGTCGACTATCCAATAAGCAAATGCAAACTACAGTAAACCCACATCTTGAACACTGCACTCGGATGTGGTCTCCTCACCTCAAAAAAGATATTTTGGCCTTGGAAAGGGTTCAGAAAAGGGCAACACAAATGATGAGGGGTTTGGAACGGGTCCCAAAGAGAACGGGACAGACAGTTTCCCACTGGTTTTATAAATTCCACCCTGGGAAGGAATCTTTTCTTCTGTATCCCCACCTACCATGGAAAATTACTTTGTCAACCTGGTATCCCACTACCAGGTGGTACGGTCACGTGTCTGCCTTCGACCAACCTCTGCTTAGACTTGAAGGACAAACAAGGCTGTTCTTGAGTCGTTACAGTGATGACCCAGTCATTAAGTCTTCTGGGAAGAACCATGGATGGCTCACGTTTGCACGTTTACAAAAAAACTCTCTCATGCCTCATGTTTCTAACATTACCGTGGCAAGCGCCCCTCTTACCCAGGCCACCACTGGGGCTAGCCTCTCGCTCCCACACCCTACGTTTGTGGTTTGCAAGCAGGTTTTTGTGGTAAGGAGCCCGGGCATGCCTCCTCGGACTCCCTCTTTAGCTCTTTCTGTCTAATGCTGTTATGGATCATTCTTTCTTAGCCTTTTGCCCCCTGTCTCTCCTTCACCTCCCTTCCATCTTCTCCACGAGAGCCACCAGCTCATTGAACGTTGCGGGGTCATTCTGGCCAACCCCACTCCCGTAGGTCTGGAGGTAACCCCCTCACATACCTCTCAAGGACAATCACCTTGGTAATCTTCTTGGGGCTGTAGATGTCAGGCCGCAGCCATTTCCGGGCCAGATGGATCAGATCAAACAGTTGAGCTGTGGATGCTCGGTCATGCCAATATTTCCATTCGTGGAATCTCTTGGCTCTCACCGTGGCTATGAACCCTGCCCGTTACAGGATCTCTGCTTTCAACTGGGAATAGTTGGACGCGGCTTCGTCTGCCATGTCGAGGTACGCCTTCTGGGCTTCCCCACTCAGGAAAAGGGCTAAAATGCTGTTCCACTGAGCTTGGGGCCAGTCCTCCCACAAAACTGTCCTTTCAAAGGCCAAAAGGCAGGCCTCCACATCAGCATCTCCTGTCATTTTTTGTAAGTAACAATTGGTCTGTAACAGTGGGGCCTCATCATGACTATGTACCTGGACCACCAGGACTTTCAGCTGGTTCACCACCTCCTGCAGGGTGGCTCTGTCCCGGGGCTGCCTGGCTCATCAACAGCTGGTTGGTTTCTGGTTGGAGCCGTACTGACGCCTGCTGGGCAGCTGCATGCACCCAGATAGCCTCGTATTGGGCGGCCGTGGCCTGCACCAGCGCCTTCACCAGGTCCTCTATTTGTACTTCTCCTTTAAGGGGTCAAGTTGGCCAGACTTAGGGTCCCTGTGAGGCCTCACAGCAAAATATCCCACTGCTGACACCATGTGTAGCAAGGGCCCCTCTGCAGCAGCTCTCTGGCCTGACCCTGCCACATTACATACACAAATGAGATACACAGTCCAGCAGATTGTAACATTCAAATGGCTAGGTTACATGAAGCATTTTGTTCCAAGCATCTTGGAATTCTGCATATTTGTATCCATAAACCAGTTTCATAAAGTGATAGGGGAAATGCCACACTGGCTACCTGCGCAGAGCCAAGGCACAGCATGGAGGGGACACATGCATACAACCGAACATTATCAATATTTGACAGATTCGAGGTACTTGTCAACACACCACATGGGTGACATCTGATGCTAGATGAGAGCACGGTTATAGAAGGGTTATAATGCCCAACTAAGAAATGTCTGTGAAAAAGTTTGAATTAAGGCTTTACAACAATTGTAGAGCACCATGTGTTATAATGTGGATATTCTACAGAGCCTGTGTTGGGTTCACTTTTTCTCTTTGAACTGTCTAATGATGTACAATGAGGTATCCTCTAATATTTTCCATTCATGTCAGGAATACATTTTGTCATGTGCACTGAGGCATGTGCAGATGGGCACCGCCAATAGAAAAACACCCTGCCGGAAGTGGGCAGCTGGAGGCACTCTGCCAATCACCCTGGGCGGCACCTGAATCTTCCCTGGGTGGCTGACCAAGCGCTCAGCCTACCGGGAATACTGCTGTACAATTCTCCTTCTCAGGGTAAAATGTCACACAATGAGGTGGGTTCATCACTGAGGAGGCAGAGCAAAGGTAAGGGTTGTTTTTATGAAGGGATTTACAGGAGCTGAGCAGGTACTTTGTGAACGAAGCCAGGGAGAGGGACATGTACTCCGTGCGCAGAGGCAGCAGGGTCCATGACTTGATGCTGAGGGCGCGTCTAGACTGCCCGCAGCTTTCGAAAGATATGCAACTTTGACGCACATTTGAAAATCTTTTTCCCATCCCGTTTTCAGAAGTTTTTTTTTTTTTTTTTTTTAAACCAAAACAATCTAGCTGTGGTTCTTTAGGGGAAAAAACCCTTTTCAAAACAACCCTTCTTCCTAAAAAAAATGAGGGTTCTTTGAAAAAAGGGATTTTTTCGAAAGAACCGTGTCTAGACTGCTTTTTTTTCCCGAAAAAAAAACTCTTCCAAAAAAGGAATCAGAAGATATGCAAATTTGCGCCACATTTGCATATCTTCTTTCGAATGCTGCGGGCAATCTAGATATACCCTGATCAAGTGCCTCACCTGCAGTGACTTGTACAGCTGTGATAAGGATGTAAATTGAATAGACACAAAGGAGCATGGGAGTGAGCTGGAGGAATAAGAAAAATCTTTATTAAGTGAAAGTTTAATAGGTCATAGTTAATAGTTTAATAGACCATCATTGAAATTACATGAACAACAAGGGAAGGAGAATGCTAGGTCAGCCCACTAATTCAGAAACGTGTCACATCGCAGCAGAACGTCCAATCACAGGCATTACATCGTCACAGTTAGCTCTGATTGGCTGATCAGAGCTCAAGAGCTGGACAGTGTAACTAGCCCCTTGTAAAAGAAAGCAGCTTTCGTGGCTGTCGAAAGAAGTCTCCAGCATTGCCAACTGCATCACAACTGAACTGAAAACATATCCAGCTTATGTCAAGAGCAGAGTCACACCGGTGCTCATTTGAGAACACTGCTGGGTTCATGCCTTCAGAGTCAAACAGGTAGTTATTATTTGGTATTGCACTTAATTTTGATAAATCACAGTTGCTTAAAAAACAGGTTATTTATCTGGCTGGTTTAAGACAAGGAGTTCATTTGTGTCACTGCGCTAACGAGACCAAGATCACAGACAATCAGATTCCTGCACCTGTCTAGGACACTAAGGTGGCTTTTCACGGTCTCTATCGAGGCAAAACACAGAGCCGGTATGGTTTTGGTGCAAATATCACAGGACTTGGGATCGAAGTTACATCAATGTCTTTGGGGTCAATGAGAGGTTTCAAGGTAAAATTCTGCAAAATCACTGTCAGGACCAAAAAGAGCTCCATCCTAGCCAGCCCCTCTCCCACGCATATTCGTTTCCCTGCAACGAAAAAGGAATTTTGAAGATGCAGAAGATCTTTCTTTGCAACCTACTTTAAATACTGTTACAAAGGATGTGAGATACAATATATATATATTTTTTTTGCTTAAGGGATAGCCCGAAAATGCTCTGCAAACTACAATTTGAGGACTCTTTGTATACTCAAGACAAAGCTAAGAAAGAATGGTCTGGAAACTGAAATAAATATTTTACCTGCAGAAAAAGGCATGAAGAAGTCACTCTTCTTAAAAGCACCATTTTCATCCAAAAAATGTCCTGGGTTAAATTGCTCTGGGTTTGGGAATTCCTTGCTGTCACGTAGGACTGATTCCAGAGATGGGAATACTGTAGTGCCCTGGTTTAGTAAGCACAGATAAAGAAAGTGTAAGTGGCCGGAGTCCACAGGGAAAACTCTCCAGAATTCACTGAGCTGGCCAGCAAGACACATTTTTCTTTCCTTCATGCCCTTCTGCATCCCCTGGAAGTTCATGCCTTCAGCCAGAAGTAGAAACACTCTAATCCCATGAGAAAAGGTAACCCCACCAAACCGCAGCCCACCTGGAACAATGAGACCCTGGAATCTCATTGGAAAGTCGGAAATATTTGAGCTGATGAAGTGGACCTGGCCCATGAAAGCTCATCATCTAATAAACCATCTTGTTAGTCTTTAAAGTGCTACATAGTCCTGTATTTTGTTTCGGAAATATTTGATACATCTTTCCTCCCATTGTCGGAAACATTTGCGTTTCCCTTGTCTTTATAATTTACTCATCAAACCAATCATTTCCTCATAACTAACAGCAACATAATAATGCTGAAAATGCCCTATACTGCTCAAAGTGAAACTCATTGGCAAGCTAGGCCCTGAGTTGTGGGGCATATTAACACCTCAGTACGTCTAAAGCTTGATGAGGATGGAACCACTCCAGAAACTGACCCTAGAAGAGGACTACCTGACACTCTACCTGACGTCAATTCCATATCTAAAAAGGTCAACATGGTTCTAAACCTTTCTTCTGGAAGGGCAGTTCAGCCTGCAGAACACAGGGTTCTTCATGCCAGTCAAAACTGGAAAATTGTTGGTAATTGTGAAAAAAAACACCTGCCACGTTCCAAACATTTCTACTGTGAATACTTCAAAAGGGAAAAGATAGAAAATCTGGATTTTTCAGAGAAACATTAGTACGAACCTTGGGGATAACATATTCTCTGAAGCGAACGTCTTTGGTCACTGCGTGTGGGAGGCTGAAGGGGACCAGGTTAACAAATCTCTGGATCTCATGGATCACGGCATCTGTGTAGGGCATCTGGCTTCTGTCCACCATGCAGGGGCTTCGGTTTCGGCCAATCACACGGTCAATCTCTTCGTGAACTTTCTCTGTATCCAAATTAACGATGTTCACTATAAAGCTAAAGACCAGGATTTTCGTACTTTCTGACACATTGCCAGACATACACAGGTCTAATATTGGGACTATCGCAAAACTGTTTTGGATTTCCCAGAAGCTACTGTACATGGTATCTAGGAGAAAGGACCAACAATGTACCTATAGCACGGTGATACTATAGCACAGAGCACAGTGTCATGGTATCGCTAGTCCACATAAGCTGCTAAGCAAAGGATTGAGACATAAGATTCCACCCCAGTGAAAACAATGATCCTCGGAGGCAGCTCGTGAGGTAAGAATTAGCACTGGGCTGGTCATCCACTGACCAGCCTACACCGTGGTGAGATGCACCACCTGCAGCCGAAGCTAGATTTGATCTGGTGTCTAGAGGGCCAGGGGTCTGACATCCCTGGAGACCTGCAATCCCCTCATTTCCCCAAATCTAAAAATGGTGTGCGTCTCTCTGGGTGGTACCTTCTACGTCTGGGTATTTCAGAAGCAGCAGCAATCCGTGTCTCAGGGTGGTGCTGGTGGTCCCTGTTCCAGCCAGGAATAAATCTATCGTGCTTCTTACCAAGTTATCAGTGTTAAAAACCGACTGGCCGTTCTGTCGTTCCTGAAGAGAGTTTTGTTAGAGTTGTTTGATCACCAGGGGAAGACTGTCACACAGGCCCAACCCCTCATCTTCTCCCTGCTCTGTGACCCATCTGGTGTCTTTATGAAAATCCTTCACCAAAACCAGGCTCCCGCCCTGACCATTGCAGTAGCACTGTGAGCACAGATTTTGGGGGCATATTGCAAGGGAAATCTGTGATCTTTGTAAGAGAGGAGAACTGGTTCATCTGAAGAACTGGGCTGTGCCCACGAAAGCTCGTGATACCGTCCACGTGTCTTGCTAGTCTCTAAGGTGCTCCTTGTTTTTACGTTTTCCCCGTTACAGACTAACATGGCCACCCCTCTGAGACTTCTGGAGCATTTCAGGTTAGTTTCCATCTGTATTTCTAACTGCTCACATTACACTTCTGGCTGCTTTCCTTTGCTTTCCTATTTTGTTCACCTTAGAAGCACGACTGGCTGGAAAACCTTGAACTAGAGAGGAAACCAAATATTTCTAAGTCATTTTTATCCTGGGAGCCCAATAGAGTCAGTTTGATAGAATCATAGAATACTAGAACTGGAAGGGACCTCGAGAGGTCATTGAGTCCAGTCCCCTGCTCTCCTGGCAGGACCAAATACTGTCTAGACCGTGCACCAAAGGAAGCAAAATCCCCACTGAAATACCTGGCTACCTGCTGATCCAGGGATGCGCTGATGGAATGCCCAAGAGGCTGCTGTTGCACAATACTGCAGGGGATTTGCAGAACGTGTTTCTAAATTAAGCTGGTAGTAGGAAAATAGGTCTGTAGGTGCGGGCAAAGGCTGCCATTTGCAACTGCTTTCTTGTGCTAATCCCACTGATGCTAACACAGCAGTAAAAGCGCCTCTGTCCACTCACTTACTAAAAATACGTTCAGGTGCTCTGTGCTTATAAGACATGTCTATGCTGAATTTAAAAAAAAAACAAAAAAAACAATTGTTCTCCTTGGCCTCTGAGGACAGGGCAAGATGCAATGGGTTTAAATTGCAGCAAGGGAGGTTTAGGTTGGACATTAGGAAAAACTTCCTAATTAACTGTCAGGGTGGTCAAACACTGGAATAAATTGCCCACGGGGATTGTGGAGTCTCCATTCCTGGAGATATTTAAGAACAGGTTAGACAGACACCTGTCAGGGATGATCTAGATGAGCCATGGCCAATCCACGACTCACAAGCCGCACGGGGCTCTTTCCCCCCTCCCCAAAGTGTGGCTCGTGAAGCTGCCCCTGTGCCCCTGAAAATGGCCCCCTGCTGCCTGTGCTCATCGCAGTAGGGGAGCCATCTTGCGCGGCCATTCAAAATGGATTTTTCAAGACGGTGGTGGCCAGCAGGAGCCTGATATGGCCAAAAAAAAGCCTGTAACTGCATTTATTAAAAGGGGCAGCCCCATTTTTTCCCCCTGAACAACCAAATGTGGCTGGGGGTTTGGGGCAGTCTTTTTTTTTTTTGGACAACTTTCCTTCCCCCTGGCTCATTGCACTATATGCACACACATTTTGGCTCTTTGTCTATAACAGGTTGGCCACCTCTGATCTAGATACTGCTTGGTCCTGCCGTGGAGGCAGGGGACTGGACTCGATGGCCTCCCAAGGTCCCTTCCAATTCCAGTGTTCTAGGATTCTATGATTCATACTGAACAGCTGTGAGGGCTTTGTGACATCACAAAGAAGGAGCGTCTCATCGATGAGAGAAGGAAGAATTGGTGTTAGTTATGGATCAAGATATTGGCCTGTCTTACCCTCTGGGGTATTCCCACCAGCATTGCTCACACAAACGAGATAAGCAGGTTGGGGCTATTAGAACGTACATCCCGGGTTCACAAAGCAGGTCTTCTTTCAGAGATAGAAATATCCAGGATAGGCAGAGTCCATCCCACATCTGATGCCCTCACATACCTCTTCCATTTTGATGAGGAATGCATCGATGAAGTCCCGAGGGCAGCTGGGATCCAGAGACTCCTTGTGCATCTTAATTATCTCTCGAACAAAACTAATGAGCTCCTGAGAATTTTTAAGTATCTTCTTGTGAGGGCCCGGAAGGTAAGACATAAAAGTTGGGAAAAAATTGTACACCTATAATGATGGAAGGAAAAGCACCTCGTGACTGATCTGGACACAACAAATAATCACTGTGTTTACCCAACCGACTCAATGATGACACAACAATAAAATAGTTCTGTGCTATCTTCATGCCCAAAAGTAACCTGAAGAACTTTGCAAGCATCACTGACTCATTCTATTCCATACACACGTATTTCCTCCAATAAACTGCAACCTTGTTTGGATTTAGCCATTCAAATAAACTGTTACTTCCAACACAAAGACATCCCCATGCTTGGGCATGGTCTGGACTAGATGACCAGTGATTTTGACTGAGTTATGCCAGCAGATCATTTACACAGGGTCGTGCTTTTGTGAGGTTTTCTGCAATGTAGGTGCTGGGTAGCTGTGTCTCGAAAATGAAAAGGCGTTTGCATTGCAGGTGGGGAATACGAGCATATTCAGGTAGCCCATTGTGAATCTAAATGAACTGTAATTGTCTGGACTCTCATCTTTTAATTGGCAATTTCCTGGATTTTTACCAATTGTGCTGGAACAGGGCGTCCTTGAGCAAACGTAATTCAGAGCCAATGAATTGTTTTTGTGGGAATTTAAATAATACCAAGAAACAAGTTTGAGGCTGGGTTTGGTAGGCAGCCGAACAAGAACAGGAACATTATGGAAAACGGAGATAACAATCATTTAAGGAAAATGAACAGTAAAAGAAAAAAAAAATCTCTCCCCCTTCCCTAGTTACAAAGAAGAAGAGCGGAAGAAACTCCTGAACACACCTGTACCAGAACAGACCTGAAGAGATCATTGTTTTCCTCTAGGAGATTAATTAAAGTCAGAAATTTCTGATCTTCATAGTCAAACCGATCCCCAAAGACGATAGAGCAGATGACATTGGAGACGGTGTGCGTGAGGCAGATGGTAGGGTCAAAGGGCTGCCCTGGAGCAAAAGAAAACCAGAGTTCAGTGTTTAATTCAGTATATTCACCATGAGCCGCACAGCCACTGGGAAGTTCTGGATCTTGTGGCCCCAGGACAAAAAGGTGGTATCTAATATTCACGTGGGGGGGGGGGGGGGGGGGGGGGGGGCG